TAATTGTGATAAAATAAAAAATGGAATCCACGATGCCAAATCCAAATAAATAAATAAATCCATTAAATAATAATATAAATAAATAAAATATCAAATGCAATGGCAGCAGCAGAAACAACAGAAACAGCAACAGCCACAGCAACCATATTAAATTTCAAGGGAGTAAAAAATTAAAACAAGCAAAAATTTCAAAAAAAAAACTTTTTTGTTTAAATAAATAAATAATTTACCTCGAGTTAATAATAATAATAATATTTTGATCGCCGTAAATTTTTCTCCCATAATAATAATAATAAGAAGAAGAAACAGAAACAAAAAAAAAGAAAAAAAACTTATAGAAAATTCATTACAAAAAAAAAATTAAAAATTTATACGATCGTTTTTTTAAAGTTGCTGACACGACAGAAAAATTTCGTTAAAGTTTTTTTTTTTAAAAAAAAAAAAAAAAAGTAAAACCGCACCCAAAATAACTGACACCTTTTTTTGTTTGTTACGTTTCAATCACTGGAAAAATCAAAAAAAAAAAAAAAAATTTTTTTTTGATGTTAGCAACTGAAGGGAAACTTTTGTTCTATTAAAAAAAAAGAGAGAAAACAAATTTTAACTTTCATTATAAGAAGGAGAAACAATTTGTTACGGACTGGAAAAACTCGGATTTTCCAGTTCCAGTTTTTTTTTTTTTTTTTTTTTTTTTTCCTAAACGATCCCACTTTTTTTCCCCACTTAAATTTTTCCCCGTGAATTACGAACCGTAAAACGAAACGTTTCGACAATAATATTCAAATGAAATTAAAGACCAATTTTCCGAAAAAAAAAAAAAAAACTAAACTAAAACTCTAAAGTAATATTTAAAAACGGTTGTTGTTGTGTGTGTGCAATCTCCGCAGTGCCTGTTTGTCCCACCCTCGGAAAATTTTTTTTTTAAAATGGCGGAAAAATTATTGTATTGTGGGAAACCCTTCCCTAAAGCTAAATATATATAAATATAAATTTTATTTAACAATTCGTCGTAAATTTTTTTCTTTTTTTTTTTTATTCTTTGGCAAAATACCTGCATAGTAATCGATATCGCGTACGGGGTTGTAACGACTTTATCTTTAGGACTCTAATAAAACAATTTTACCAACGTAAAAAAAAAAAATTTCCCCGTCATTTTACTTTCGATTCAATAACAAAAAACCCTTTTTCTCGTAATGCACGTATAAGTATATAAATTTGAATTTCCCGCCTAAAATTTTTTTTTTTTTTTTTTTC